CAGCACATAAACCAGGCATCTCTAATCAAATTCCACAAAGGCAGTCCAACTTTCCCACTTGAAAAAATATGAGATAAGATACAGAAAACCTATGCTGTGTAGGTGTCATTGTCAACTCACAGAGTCAACGCTTTTTAACTGGGAACAGCTCACCTGTTTGAAATTAAAGCGCTTTCTGAATCAACACTCTGGAATTACATCACTGAATCTGTAGAAGCATTACATTTCACCTTTTGAAGCAGACTTTGCCAAGCAGTTCAGGTAGTTTGAAATTCAGTTGTAGTCTTATTTTTTTCTTTCACAGACTCATGAGTATAATTTCTAATAATTTCTAATTAAGATATCAAATTTCCTTGAAGAAGCCCTCCTCAGGCAATTATTTTCTTGCAAAGCTCCAGCTTTAATAAAAAGGTGCCCAGGCTTTAACTAGGACAGCAGAGAAGTTAATCCCCACTACTGATCTGGCAAAGTCTTCATAACATAAGTGTAGAGAGCGAGGCATCCCATTGTGAAAATAAGCTCATAAAGCTTCTGAATGAGAACATTTTCTTAAAAACAAAAAAAAACATCTATTGTAGTTCTCATGGTTGTGCACAAAGTTTATGAAGCAGCAACACTGATTGTCTGGGGATGGTGGTTAGTGCAGCCATCTGACCTACTGGGCCCAAGTTGATTTTAATCTCAGGTGGAAGTTGTGCCTTTCCTAGTGCTCTTACAAATGCTTTCAGGCAGGGACACAGCCGTAAAAGGGTTTGGCTTGGAAAGGCCTTTAAAATCATCTAATTCCAACCTTCCTGCCATAGGCAGAGATCTTCCACTAGGCCGTGTTGCTCAGCACATGGTCACTCATCTTTTAGGTTTTGGTCTGATATACTCCTCCAAATAATCTTTAATTAAATCTTAAGTGGGATAATCTTAAAGACAGTAATCTCCTGGAACTCCCCCAAGAACAGGAATGTTTCAGCTCTCTTCTCTCATCACTACTCTAACTTTCCATTAGAAATGACATTTTCCAGCCAACACATTTAGCTGCATTAAGAGCTCAACAAAACTATCAGGGCTTCTTTTCAGCCACAAAAGGACCTTCCACAGTAACAATGGTTGAAAAAACACCCAACTGAAGCGACAAATCTCTCCCCGTGCCCTGCAGGCAGGCTAGCTGACCTGGGCCAGGAAGGCAACCAGGAAAAAAAGCTCTTCTCCAGCTGTGCAAATTAAATCAAGGGAATCATTATAACACCAAGGAGCAGAGAGGAATTTAAAATTAGAGAAAACATCAATGTCTCAAACATTCTCGAGGCACAGGAGCCGAGGAAATGCTGTGGGATGGGCTGTACTAGCAGGAAGGGTGCTGGACCTGGCTCTGCACACCCAGCATGAGGAGCCCTGGCTCACAAGCACAGGATCCTCCACAAGACATGCCCTTGGAGCACTCCAGGTACATCCAGGAGGTCCCAGCCCTTCCCTGTGCAGGAACCAGAGATCTGAGAGCAGCTGACCGCAGCCAAAACCAGCCTGGTGCAGAAGCAGCTGGCCTGAACACAGCTCAGTTCCTCAATTTGTTTGTCACATGGGCCACAACCAGTTGGTGGGGAATAAGGGAAGGGAGTGAACACACAGGAGCTGCTCAGCAGCCACAGCACTTCTGGAAGTTTACACAGCTGCAGCCCCACTCAGGGACTGGGACTGGGCTGGGGAGACATCGAGTCAGGCTTCCCAGCACCAAACAGCCTTGAAAAATCGGACAGAATCACAGATCCTGCCCACTCCTCCATCCCTTTCCCACTGCAAACACCACAGGGAAGGTGCCACCCTTATCCCTCCATGCTGTTTGAGCCAGGTTGATCACCAGGCCATGAGTATCCATCCTGCATAATCTCAGAGCATCTGTGACAAACCAAGATTGTTTACTCATATTTACAAGATTGAGTTCTCTGCTACAAAACTATTCTTGAACTCCTCCAGTACACCTAGAAGCAAAAACCTAAAGCACCAACTGATCCCACAGCACCAGGATTTGTCAGCCCTAGGTTTTGAAATATGCAGGACCTCGCTGATCATAACTCAAGGGCAGGCACTACCCAGGAATTCCAGTTTAACCAGTTCCACGCTTTCTACCCCTCATTCCTCCCACTTTCTTGGAACAACAGACAGCAACAAAACCCTGCCCCAACCTATACTGGGATAAACAATTCATTGGGATGAAAAGCCACCTGCTCCCCACACACAGTTAAAAGCATTTCCAAATTCCAGCTCTCTCCCAGCCAGCACAGATGGACACACCAGGCACACAGACACCCGCTCTGCTTCCAGCACAGCCTTTGTCCTGCTGAGACACAAAGCCCGGTGGCAGAGGCTGCCTCCATCAGAGCTGTTTTGTTAAGGGATCATGACATAAACCAGCAATCCTCCAGCCACAAAAGCAGTTCAGACTCGCTCCTAGCACACTTAAATTGCAATCTGCTAAAACACACAGGCACTCTCTGGCTTTTGGGGACCACATCCCTCCAGTGGCGGATCACATCCTGAGAGCTGACTAATGTATTACCTGCCCCACATGTCCCCAGATGATTAAATTTAACATGTAACAGCTCAGTCTTCACCAGAGATTTTCACTTTCTTGCACACCCTTCTTCTGCCCAGAGTGATTCTGCAGGAAGTAAATAACCCCTTTCCAAAGGAAGCGATAGCCCTGAGAGCAGGCAATGAAACATTAAGATGGAGCCTGAATTCTGCCTTGCTCACCCCTGCTGGACCTGCCCTGTAATCCCTCCAGCATGGTGGCATTTAGGGCAGCCTGGGATTCGCAGCAAATGGAGGCCTGGCCACCAGAGACTGCTGAATACTCACTAGACATTGCTGCCTTTGCCAAGACAAAATCAGCACAGAGGCTGCTCCTGCAGTGCACACCGAGCTCCAAAAGCACCAGACACTGACATCTCCTTCCCTGCTTGTGGCTGCTGTGCTGCTCAGCCAGTCTGCAGAACGCTTCCACTAGGAACTGGCTACCCACAGGACAGATTCCTGCTGTGGTTAATCACTGTCCCTGCAGACAAAGGCAGAGCTGGTGTTCCACAGCCTCCTACCCACACTGCACTGCCCTGCTGCCACTCTCTCCCTCTTGGCAGCACAAGGGGAAGAGTTTCTGAGCACAGTGATCACGTTGCCCAAGACCAATTCTCCCAGTCCCCTCAAGTGTACAGGGATCTCTATGCACAAGATTCATTCATCCTACCAGAACAGCTCAGGAACTGCTTCTGTCATCTTTTGCCTTTCAACTTAGCTTTCTTTGAAAACAAATGCTAATATCCTTTATAAAAAATCCAAATCTGATCCAAAACCAGACACATCACTGGAATGAATCACACAGCGTTATTAATTCTCCCGCCCATCAAAACAGAAATGTCTCACCTTGCAAAGCAACTGTAGTGGTTGCCCAGGCTCACAGAAATCTGTCCCATCTGTTAAAAATCTGGGTGCACTAAATGAGACTATTTGACAAGCACTCTGCTGAAAGGCAGCAAACATTTCACCCCACAATGGCTGCTTCAAACCTAGACAGTGATTACAGGTAGCTGAGCTAGGTTCCTATCAGCCAGCACAAACACAGCCTTCCAAGAAAGAATTCATTTTAAAGACCGAGCTTGTAGGGACACTAAATTCCAGGATCAAGCCTGCAACTGTGAGAAAGCTTCAAAAAGTCAAGTTTGGAAGATCTCGCACTGCAAACTGCTACAATCAAAAGCAGGGAACAAAGTGTTCCTGCCTTCAACACCAACAGAAATGGCAAATAAACAGGACCTCCACTTCACCTGCACACAGCGTGCCTAACAGGCAAAGCCTCTCTGATTTCCAGCTCCAGGGGACACCCACAATGAAACAGGAGCTATGAAGGAGGAGAGAGGAATTGCACCCCCAGAACTGAGCAGCGTGGCACCCACCTCCCCATGCACTGCACTCCCAAATGCTTTAGTGCTGCATGTATTAACCCCACACATTCACCTGGGCAAACATCAGCCTGCTGCTGCTGATCCCCATGCACGGGAAGTTCAACACAACAATCTTCAGCCAACATCTCCGACAGACTCTTGGCAAAGAACATTCCCCTCCTGCTTAATGGAGATACAATTCCAGCATTTCACAGAATTAAAGAATTTGAGCTTTCAGTACAACAGGAGCAAACCACAGTCGTATTATGAGCCAACAGGTAATATCAAACCCTGAGGGATGCGTTTGTGGAGAACACAGGAAGACTGAAGTCTACAATCACAGGTTCAATTATCTTAAATGATAATCAAAAGGTAGTAAGATAAACATTCACATCAGCATAAGGAATCCTACTCTGCATTTACTCAGCAGCACAGCAAAACATGACAGGACAAAGCAATGCTCACGACATCATATTAAAAACAGTAATACTATTAAAATGAAAGCTATTTCAGTACTCATTACATGCAGCAGAAACACAGAATAGCCTTCAATGTTATCCCCTATGAAATGACTCTGCTCAGCAAGAACACAGGAATGAATTGGCCACGACATTCATGCGAACCCGCCACGGACTGAGAGCAAACTCCACCTGCTTGTTAAAGATTTCACTGCTATAGAAACTATGATTAAATACACAGAGCCATGAATCAGCCACCTGAAATGAAGGTACGCCTCGGCAGGCACAGCAGCACCCAGCACACTGACATTTCAGCCACCACCAGCCCCAAAACTGGGACATCATGCAGAAAAACTGCTTTATCCAGACATTTCAGCTCCCACAAACATTTCTTACCTTTGGGGCTGGTTGTTTTAGGGGCTCTCTTGGTTTGGCCAGTGCTTAGCGCTGCACATGCCCCTTACAGGAACAGCAAACAGGCTCCAAATCCATTTTGCCACAACTGGATAAAGCACCTAAAGCCAGAGCCCTGGTGCCTCTGGGCCAGCTGTGTCCCTGCACTGCAATTCCAATCAAGCCCACAGAAAAGCAGGAGGAAGATGGCAGGGCTTACCAGCAGTTCCTCAGTCTAGTCTCTGAACAAAGTGGATTTAAAAGAGGTTTAATTTTCCCAGAGGCTAATGCTCTCAAATCTAAATAAATCCTGCAAAAGAAGAGATTATCCATAAATTTACTAGTTAGAAATGTTAATGTATCCAGTGCTTATGCAAGGACTGCTTCTCTCCATGCAAGAGTATCACCTATACAATTCCATATTAAAGGAGAAATGGATTTCTGGTAGTTTCTCCCCCACCTCCCCTTCCATGCTGAAATGTAGCACAGCAGCTTTATAAATCCCACTTCCCAAGAGCAGCAGGAATTTACTGCAGAATCAAGGCAAACTTCTTTTTTCTATTTCACTGAAAAAGCTCTCAAAAATCCCCCCTTGCAAAAGAACTTAATACAAAAAGCAAGATCCACAGACAGGAAAGCCTAGTGTGAAACCTGAATAAGCATTTAAATAAAAACATTTAAATAAAAAATTCAAATTACACATTCACAAAACACAGGACAAGGTGAAAATCAAGGAACAATTCCTTGAACGCAGCTGATGCTGGACCTACCCAACAAACCCAAACACTTCCTCCTGTTATTCATACTCTGTTTACTAAAGGGCCCACCTACACACCATATGACACAGAGCAAGATGGGACTAGACCAGTAGAACCTGGCTGCTAATTATGGCCCTTAAGGCTGAGATGAATTAATTTGTCCCTCTAGCTATAAAGAGGAGGATGACATCCTCACTAACCACAGGTAATCTTGGAGAGGATAGACAGAAGGATGAAACAAGGAAAAAGTGACTTGCCTGACATCAAACACCACAACAGCAACATAGCTGGGAGCTAAATCAGGCCTCCTGTCCACCTGAGCACCCTTATTTTCCCTGGACTCACAGCTGATAAGCAGAGAGAACACAGTCATTAAAATACAGATTGAAGGCTTCATTTGGAGGCTAGAAGCAGATGTGGATAATACTGGTTAGTGTAATCACTAGTGTCACGTTGATTTGGGAGATCCAGCAGCCTCACAACAATCCTTCATCACAAAATTGTTTGCTCTCCTCTGGCATCACACAAACACTCTTTACAAGGGAGCAAATCTAGCAGGAGTTGGGCTCCATGACCCTGATGGGTTCCCTTCCAACTCAGCATTTTCCATGATTCCATTAACAGCTCTTCTCCTGCTTCACCTGGTTTGCAACAGACACTAAACTTAATACTGCCAAAAATAAAAGCCCAAATTTACTAGCACACATCTGACATCCCTATTTCAGTAATTACCCTCCCCCTCCTTAGTCCCAGCTGATAAAGATAACCTCATCAGCACAAGGTCATCCATCCAGGATCAGGGAGCAGATATTCCGTGGATCCATCCAGATTTCCACTGTCAGCATTGCAGCAGGGCAGCTTTAAAAATGCATTCCCACAGCACCTGAGGCAGCCAGCAAAGACCAGCTCAAATCCTCCTGACCTTGCTTCCATCCCTGCTCAAACCCACTTAAGTCTCCCCTGCACTGGGATCCAAAGGCTGGCGGTGTTAGCTGTACCTGCAAACCTGCTTCCTGTGGATCTTGGCACTGCAGCAAACCAGCAAAAACTTTTAGACAGCTCTGGAGGGGAGAGGAATGGATAACACACCAGCAGCAGCAGTTTTGTGCATCTGCAGGGGAGTTCTTGCCAGCACAGAAACAACAGTGCCCAAAGCCCCATCCAGCAGGCACAGTGAGAAAGGCCGATCCCACAGCAGCGGGTTCAGCTGTGACAGACATCCCACTTTGATTTTCAGTAGGACAGAAGGATTAGTCAGGAGAAGACAACCTTCAAAGGCATGTGACTACAGCCGAAGTCCCCTGAAAACTGGCACAGTGACACACTTTGTTCAAAGCTCAAATACTCCAAAGACAAGAGCCTTTGGCTTTATTCCATATCCACAAACACCTCTGTGAGCTTCACCTCCATGAGCACAGCCTGAGACACAGCTTGTGATCCCAACCTCAAGGCCACATCCAGCAATAATCTCGTTTTTTGCTAAGTCACCCTCTGCAACACAGTGTTTACACAGCGAGAGGGCTGAGTGTGGCCCACTACTAAACACTGTGCAGACACCAAACAAGTCACTGCCTCCCAAACTTTGATCCAAGTTTACAAATCAAGGCTTTTCTGTACTATTAGAGCCAAACTTTTCTTGACTGCACCCTTAAAAGCTAAGGGAGAGAAAAACACATTAAGAGAGGTTCACCTTTCCCACAGGCAAGTGTGAGCTGATGAAGGAAGCCCATACGGGGCAGCCTGCAGGTTAAATCAGTGCTGGGGATTAATCTTGATGTATTTTAGACAACTGAGTCCGTGCCAACACAGCTGTAATTAATGGGTTAACTTTTGGGGCTTGGTTAACTAAAGGAAAACCTTTAGGTACTGGCAGCCAAGCAATCCCTGCTTTTAGCAGCAGCTTTCTGGAGCTGACAGCAAAAAGGTCCAAACCTCTAACAGCAGTAAACTTTACCGAAGTTCAGTGATCTTTCCTGAAAGTGTTTCAAAAGGCACCGACTGCACAGAAGTGCCAGGCTTGCACAAATAGACCTCATCAGTATGCACCTTGTTTTGCCCCATGACACTCAGCAGCTGCGGTTAATTAGTCCTTGATAATGAATTGCCCATCACGACTGCATGAAGCTGGGAGGTGAGCGATTCAGTATGCATAAAGCACAAACACTAAAGAGTAAAGTTAACAATCTGTTTACCCCTTCCCTCACTCCTCCAAAGCTGCTACCAGCCAAAGGCTCAGGGAAAAGCAATAATAAATCTATTTCCAGGGTTCAGCAGAGAGAAACCATTTGGATTGCTCTCAATTTTCATACCTTTGCCACCAGTGCTTTGTGTTATTTCTCTCAACTCATTCAAGTTAGGAGATGAAGCCTCTTCTTTTGGCTAATAGCATTTAAAGCCTCTCTCTGGAGATAATTAGTCCTCCCTCCCCCATCCCATCCTCAGCAGAAAGAGCCGAGAGTCACTAATAAACAAAGAAATTCAGGCAGTGACAACCAGGGTAGAGCTGAGACCAAAGCTGCCTCTCGCCTCCCTATCTCAGCACAGCTGAGGATCAAAAACAAGTGACACCACAAGCAACAGAATGAACAACACAAGGATTTTCAGATTAAGGGCTTCGTCATTTTGAAATCAGGAAAACAGCAACTCCTCATCTACAAGAAGCAAAATACCAACGTGTAATCACTAGATGCTCTGCCTGGTTACCTTCCAACCCGGACAGATCGTCCTGAGTCATTCAAAATCAGCAGATAAGAGCAAGAATTGGGAAAGCTGCAGCCTTTTACCTCTGGTTCCAGGCCCGTCACCCAGCCACTGGCAAATCACAACCACCTCCACACCTCAGCTCCTACCGAGATACAGTAAATCCTCTGGGCAGAGGAAAAATTAAGGGCAGTGACCTGTGGGAAAGCCCCTCTGCTGAAGACTGACAAACTTCTGCATGTCCGTATGGCAGCTCCTCCCGTGGAATCTGCCCTTGGATTCAGGGCACAGTCTGGAAGGAGTTAAACCCCAGCCATGGGGATGAGCAGCCATGCTGGCTGCTGCATTCCTTGCCTAACCATGACCCCACTGTGCAGGGAAGAACTGGGAATAGTTATCACCACAGCACTGACACGTCAGCAACAGCGACTAATTAACTGATAAAAATAGATCTCTGAAAGGGCTTTTTCCCCCTCGACACAAAGCCCAGGCCCAACGCTGCCACAGTTGCACATCCATTAGTTTTCCACAGGCTCCAAACTTGCTAGCTAAAAATAAAAGCATTCTCACACTCAGAAAAATAAACCCACATGGCACTTGTATGCAGAAAATCACTGCTAAAGAGAATTACGGAACTGACTATGAATGACCTTGGAGCATCTCCACTCCCACCTTAATGGATGCAGGAGCAAGGGGATGTCTTTGCCCCCAACAGCCCTACCAGCTTCCCAGCAGCCCAGAGTTCCAGTTTTGCCTGAAAAGGACATGTTTTGAGGTAATCCAAATGATCCCAAGGATATCTGCAGCTTTCTTCACTCATGAAACCAGCCAGAAAAACCCAGCTTTGTTTTAAGCCCCCCCACACCCAGACACAGGTTTTGTACAGCTTGTAACTAAATATTCATCACCAGCTAATAAACCTGCAGGAACCACAGTCTCAGCAATTTTTAATACATAGAATGCTCCAACACATGCCAAACACAATGAAATTTGATCAAAATAGAAGCCATTTGTTTAAATACAAATTATTTGGCTCTCAAAACTGCTATCAAATTGAACTGGAAATGAAATTAACCAGTAACTGAAGGAAATAGAAGGCTGTATAATCACTGATCCAGCAGCATGGAAACAAGGATGCAATCACATTCCCCTTGTTTGTGGCACTGCCCATGCTCCCAGCAGGACTCCCACTCCACCTCCCGGGGTGAGAATGCTCTGTGCCTCAGACACAGCTCAATCCCTGGGAATCCAGAAAGAAAACGCTCCTTGCAAAAACACTGATACACTGTCAGATAACAGATTGTCTATCACCTGTGAAAGGACACACTGACACGTCTGAAACCACCTCCACGTGGGACAGAGCAGCGCAGTCATTCCCAGCACTGCTGGGAGGAACAGGTTTGTTCCTAATGAGAACAAAACCCTAATGAGAAAGGGTTTTTGTTGCCATCCCTGCGCAGACACTCAGCTTCACTTGCTGTAGCTGTGACAGCCCTGTCCCTCACAATCGGCCTCATTTTGGCTCTATTTTGCCCTTTCCTTCACAAAGAGGAATTTAAACCATGTAAGCTGACGATTTCAGGTGTTGTCTACTCCTAAAAGCAGCTTGGATTCATTTAAAAGGTCTGCTTGAGGAGCACCGGGCACTCCTGAGGAAATCGCAGCAGGGAGAGGAATCCAGTTCCACTCCCTTGCATCTTCTGTAGCACACCAGACTAACTCAGCTGAACATCCTTTACCCACCCAGGGTGGGCTGTGGGAACTTCATCAATCCCCTTCCCTGATCCAGACTTGCTTTTGAAAAACAGGAACATCACGAAACACCAACTTTAGCACTCACTCCTGCACAATTCCAGCTTTCTTTAAGCAATAAAGAAGCAATTACAAGGAGAAGGCTCCTGGGAAATCTCACTACACCCTTCCAGTACTTGAAGGAAGATTATAAAAAGAAAGAGAGTGACTTTTTATACAGGCAGAAAGTGATAGGACAAGTGGAACAGTTTTACACTCCACAAGGAGATTTAGATGAATATTGGGAAGGAATTGTTCCCTGGCAGGGTGGGCAGCCCTGGCACAGGTGCCCAGAGCAGCTGTGGCTGCCCCTGGATCCCTGGCAGTGCCAAGGCCAGGCTGGACGGGGCTGGGAGCACCTGGGACAGTGGAAGCTTTAAGGTCACTTCCAACTCAAGTCATTCTGGGACTCCTTGGCTCCACTTCTCTTTCGAGGCTTGTGGAAGCAACATTTAAACATCCTAAAGCTTAAAGAGCTTTATAGTTTATTTCAGCCTCAGCTGAGCACCGTCTCGCATCATTTCACTTTCTTTGCAGTATTCCAGTGCCAAGGAAGGGCACCAAGCCCTCGCCTACCTCCACCTGGACAAACACAACCCAGTGCAAGGCACAGAGGTAAATAATTCATCTGCGTGCAAACATAGGGAAAGAACAATTAAGCCAGAAAGCACAACGGGGACGTTTCAAATTTCAGTCAACATGAAGGCAGGAGAGATCAAACAAAGAAATACCAGCGGGGCTGCCTCAGAGGGAACTTTGGGAAGCTGCAAACACTCACGGCGAGGCACGGAGGGCGGCAGGGACCGGAGCCCGGGTTTCACCGGAGTGCCACCCGAGCCGCTCGGCTTCCGAGCCGTCCGCGCAGCGCAGCGCAGGACGCCAACTCCGCTCCTCGCCGTCAGAGCCAGCGGCGGCTGCGAGCCCCGCGAGCCCAGTCCTGTGGGGCCGCTCCGCCGGGAGCCCCCGGCGCGGTGCCCGCACAGCCCCGGCCCTTCCGCGGCATCCCCGGGGCGCCCCCGCTCCCCCTCCGTGGCCGCCCGCGGGCAGGCCCTTACCTGCCGCCGCCGCCGCCGGACGCGCCGCCGGAAGCCGCGCGCGGGGCATGCCGGGAGTTGTAGTGCGGCGGGCGGGCACGCCCCCGCGGGAGGACACGCCCCCGGAAGCCCCCTCACGCCGGGCTGTGCGGGGCGAGGCGGGGACCGCGGTGGAACGGGACGGGCTCTGAGGTGCCTTCCGACCGAAACCATGGGGGATCCCTGGGTTCACGGCGGGGCTGGTCCCGGCCCTCGGTGCGTGCCTCCAGCGAGCGGCGCTGCTGCTCCGGGGAGACCGGCGAGCCCCAGACCCAGCCCGGGCCCGTCCCGCCTGGGCTCTGTTTCCATTTCCATTGCCCATTTCAGCCCATGCAGCGGATCCAGGAGTCTGCTTGCGTCTGCCGGGAATGACAGATGACCCAGGGCACAGGTGCTTCATCTCCAGCCCCACATGAATCCCACAGCGGGGACAGCTCAGCCCCAGCAATGCCGACTTTGCAAAGCGCTTCGTGCTCCGTCAGTTGTAAAGTGTTCCTCCAGCACAGATTTATTATTATTATTATTATTACTATTACTATTATTATTTTATTACCACTACTGTTATTTCCTGTTGCTTTGATGTGTGTTAAACACCACTAACACATTATGTTTTTAAATTGAGGGCAATTGTAGTGGGGAAAAAAATAGCATCTATTGAGATCATAACTATCAGCTTCAGGTAGGGAGATTATTAACACACCTGCCCTGCAAGGGAACAGTGAAAGCTGCGGATAAATTATAGATAGGTACACAAATTGCAGGCTTTAGTTATGCACCGGACGAGGAATTTATTGGTTTGTAATTGTGACCGAGTGAAAAACACAGGGGTTGAAGGGATGCAATGGCCCAGGGTGTGGGCTAAAGGAGACCCAGGGGCTGGCTCAGCCCCCCAAGTCCCTCTGGTGCTCCAGGGTGCACCCTGAAACAACAGCGCTTTGCGGGGCTCTGCTGTGCCCCCCACCAGGAACTCTGCCCCAGCCAGCAAGGCCCAGGGAGCCCCGTCCTCCTGCCTCAGCTTCCCAGAAAAAGCTACCCTCAAACCTCCATCCCCCAAAACGGGCTCTGCCCTTTGTCTCCCCAGACTCTCTGCCAGCCTCCCCTCTGCCCTCAGACGCCAGAGGGTCCCAGAGGGCCCCAGAGCCCCGGAGGCAGCTCTGGCTCCCCAGGCACGCCGGGACGCGCCTGCCAAGCGGAGCTGGCCCTCCCCAGGGCTCTATCAGCGCCTCCCAGGGGCTCTGCCCGCACCCTGATAACCGCTGGGCTCCGGGGCACGGGCCCGGGCTGCCCTGCTCTGCCCCCAGCAGCGCTGCAGCTCCGCTCCCTGCCAGCAGTGCAGCAGAGCAGCCACGGTGGGATGTGTCACGCCTCAATCCTGGCTTCCCAGGGAGATGCTACAGCCAGGAAAGACTGGAAACAGCCACCACAAGGAGAGTTTAGTGAAGTCAAACCCATCCCCGTCAGGCAAGTGGGGAGTACTCAGACCTCCCACATCCTCCCTTGGACAGCTCAGGGATGCTCCCAAGTTCTCCCAGAGCAGCAAGAGCCCTGCACTCTACTCCTGCCATACAGGAATAGCCCCTGGGCTGACCAAGGGGAAAGTGAAAAGGGAAAAAGAATTTAAAAATAATTATTTTATTTTTTTCAAACAAGATTAACAGCAAAGTTACAGAGGTATTTCCATGCCTAGTCAGGAGTTAATATATTAAAAAAATATAGAAATAACTTAACTGGAGTGATCATTCAACAGCCAAACCAAGGGTGGTGATGGTGCTGGCCCTGGATCCTGCTCCCCAACAGGCACCTCCATGTGCTGCTGGGAATGCTCTGGCGTGTCTGGATAAAGCCATGGCCAGCCCGTCCCACCCTGCCACCCTCACAGCAGCAGAGGGGCTGAGGGAGCCCCATGCCCCAGCACAGCTCCCCACCTCAGCCCCTGACGCTGAGGCAGTGGAGATGCACCAGTGGCTGGAAAACAATGCAAAAAGGTGTAAAACACACTCAGGTATTCCTGCCCTTTCCCTGCTCCTGCCTGGGCACTTAGGTTAAAGGCACTTCACATCCCAAACTGCAGGGGACAAGGCAGAAAGGTGGGGAGGGGTGCCTGGGCAGCACCCCCTCCAGCAGCTGTCTCCAGCACAGCAGGACCCAAAAAGCAGGGATGAAGCCCGTGATATCCTCTGGCCATCTCTGGCAGGGGGACAGTGCTCTTCGGTGCCAGGACACGGCACGGGGGTGTGACACCAGCACTGCACCACAGACATCCCCGTCCGGCTTCACTGGGGCAGCCCCAGAGGCATGGGGCAGGAGAGCCTCGCAGCTCGGTCAAGCCCAGGGCAGCACTTGGGGGTCTTCCCAGCGCCGACAGCTTCCTGGGGGCTCGCCCCTCCTGGGAGAAAGCGCAGGGAAGCTCCCACTCCACAGCTCTAAGCCCGTGAAGGGGGAGACAGTACTCCAGACGAACTTCCAGGGTTCCAGCTGCCCCCCGGCCTTTCTTGCAGAGCCAGGGCAGGGGCAGGAGCAGGAGCAGAGCAGCTCAGGTCATGTAGCGGGTGACAGCCCTGAGGGCGTAGAGCAGCGCCGCCTGCATGCGCGCCTCCAGCAGGAGCAGGTTGATGTGCACCTACGGGAGAGCGGGGTCAGGGCACGGGGCCAGCACCCCGAGCTCCCTGCCAGGGGAAGGGACGGGCAGCACCTTCTCTGAGTGCTTGAAGTGCCTCCAGAACTGCGCGTAGATCTGCTTGGTGGTCCTCTCCGGGTAGCAAGCCACTGTCTTGATGTAGACCTTCAGGTTGCGCTCCAGGAGCTGGTTCACCTCCCCGTAGTCGTAGTCATCATAGCTGCAGAGAGGAGGGTGTGTTACTCCAGACACGAGCCTTGTGCATTCACAGAATCCCACAGTGGTTTGGGTGAGAAGGGACCTTAAAGCCCATCCAGCCCCACCCCTGCCAGGGCAGAGACATCTTTCACTGTCCCAGGCTGCTCCAAGTCCCATCCAACCTGGCCTTGGACACCTCCAGGGATCAGGATTCCACCACCTCTTTGGGCAAACTCTGCCAGAGCCTCACCACCCTTATTGTAACTTTTTACTAAATTCTCCTTTCCCAGAGCTGTTCTGAACCTCAGCCAAGCCCGCCACCAGCATCACTTTGCCTTAGGGAAGCAGCAGCAGCAACACTCTAAACAAGCCCAAGTCTCTGGAGCTGCTCCTGGGCTCTTCCCTAGGCGGAGGAGAGCCCAGCCAGGTGCTGGGACACACCGGATGCCGAAGACACAGTGCACGTAGTTCCAGATGGCTCGGCGCAGCACGGAGGTGTCCACGCCACAGTGCATGGCAATGGTGTTGTAGGTCAGGTTGTAAACCACCTGGAACTTCTCGTCCAGGAGCTGCCCCACGTCTGGGTACAGGCGGTTGATCAGCGAGTAGCCGTGGTCCTCCCAGGTGTAATCCTGGTGGAGAAAGGATGCTGGGGTAGGGGTCTGGTGGGGAAAAGTGGGGTCCCTCTGTCCTGGTTTCAGGAAGGGTGGAGTTAATTTCTTCTCAGTAGTTGTTCCAGTGCTGTGTTTTGGATTTGGAATGAGAAGGGTGTTGGTAACACACTGATGGTTTGGTTTTTTTGCTAAGTTGGGTTTATCCTGAGTCAAGGACTTTATTCCTCTTGTTTCAGGCTCTGCCAGTGGGAGGGAGGATAGCCAGGACAAGTGACCTGAACTGACCACTGGGATACACCAGAGAAAATCATGTCCAGTGTATAAACTGCAGGGAGTTACCCAGAAGGGGCCAGTCTGGGTTTAGGAAGGGGGCTCTGGCATCAGTCAGCAGGTGCTAAGCAATTGCATTGTGTATAGTTTGTTTTTCCCCTTTTCATTGTCATCATTATTTACCATTATCATTGTATTTTATTTTATTTTCAGTTATTAAACTGTTCGTATCTCAAAACACAAGTTTTATTTTGATTTTCCTCCCTGGGTGGGGGGAAGAAAGTGGGGGCTGAGTGAGCAGCTGTGTCAGGTTTCATCTCCAGCTGGCCTTAAACCACAACACCCCCCAAAGCCAGGGACACAAGGTGGGGTTCCCCCCTAAGCTGACACCTCCTCCCAGTTCTCAGCACCTGGTTGCTCAGCTCCAGCCTTCACCCACTGTCCACAATGCTGGGAACAACCCCGACACAAACAGGAGGCACCCCCAGAGCTGAGCACCCACCTGTGCACGGAAAGTGGGGGGGGCCTGCTCCCCCCTCCGTGTGAAGTCCTTGTATCCGAATTCAGGGTCCTCCAGGAAGCAGCGGATGTTGGACTGCAGGGAGGGATCCAAAGCATCTACAAGGGACCAACGCAGTGGCCATGAGCCCAGACGGAGTCAGCTGCCCTGGGGAGCTGATCCTGCTCCCCCTCCTGGGGCTCCCCTGGCCCACGGGGACCTCCTGCCCCAGACAGTTGCCCCCTGCACCTCCTCACCTGAGGAAGGGACCAGCAAACTCTCTGTCTTCTCCAGCTCAAAGCGTGTCGCCATCTCCTCCTGTGTGACTCCTTCCTCCTCCAGCTGGTTTTCCTGCAGCAGCTTCATCCTCTCCATCAGCACCTCCACCTCCTGCACGGCATCTGTGTCCTGGGAAAGCACAGGGCAGGGTCAGCCCTGGCACCTGGGGGAACCCCTGAGCATCTCCCTCTGGGTTGGTCCTGCCCAGATTCCAGCAGCTCCCATAACCCTTCCCCAGGCCCCAAAGGGAGGAGGGGGAAGTACTGCATGGCTCTAAAGCATCAGCTGTTCCCAATAAAGCCCACAGAGATTCTCCGAGAGATGGGCCACTGTACACTGGAGACAAGCCTGGAGAAGAGAAGGCTTCAGGGAGACCTTAGAGCCCCTTCCTGTGCCTAAAGGAGCTCCAGGAGAGCTGGAGAGGAACTTGGGACAAGAGCCTGGAGGGACAGGACAAGGGGGAATGGCTTCCCACTGCCAGAAGGCAGGGATAGATGAGATATTGGGAAGGAATCCTTCCCTGTGACAGTGGGGAGGCCCTGGCAGAGTTTGCCCAGAGAAACTGTGGCTGCCCCATCCCTAAAAGTGTTAAGGGCCAGGCTGGACAGGGGCTGGTACAGCCTGGTCTAGTGGAAGGTGTCCCTGCCCATGGCAGGGGGTGGAACAAGATAGGCTTTAAGGTCACTTCCAATCCAAGCCAATTTGTGATTCCCCATAAAGCATCCCAGGGTACATTCACACCCTGCAAGGCAAAGCCCCTCTTACCCCAGAGCCCCCCATGCTGTCCCCAGAGGCAGGGCTGCTGTCGCTGTGGGGTGAAGGGGCCCAGCAGCTGCTCCCCACGTCCTGGTCCTCCTCGGGTTTGATGCCGCAGCCGAAGACAAAGGATGCGAGCGAGTGGTAGTGGGTGAGGAGCACCAGCGCCTGCACCAGCTCTGCCAGTGACCAGCTGTCCTGCCCCGGCCTCAGCAGAGCCTGCCACACACAGCAGGGGTTGGAGAGACGCCCCAGCCCTCAGCTGCATGCCCACCACAGCCCAGGGCTGGGGCAAGCCAACGGCGGGGATACAGGAGTGTTTGGG